AAAAAGCCCTTTACAAGTGCACAATAGGAATTACTTTGTTTTTTTTTTTATTTAAAAAAGGGAAAAGAAAAAGCATTTTCATTCTCCTTCTTTAAATCTCATTTTGTCCATATGACAAAAACCATAACTATTGTTTAAGGAGTTCCTAAATCATTAGTAAAAATAGTCTGCATCTGACTTAAGAAATAACAAAGGACAATTATCCATTTATGCTAGTGACATGACTCAAAATCTCCATATTCCATATTGAGAATATCGAAGCCCTCATTTTCCTACTTCTACAGTAGTAATAACAGTGGCAGTGACTGATTTAAGGGAAGAGAGGGAGAATATACAAGTCTGCATGAACACTTCTGAGCTCATTTTCATCCAAGCAAACTGGCTTTTGACTCGTTATATATATTTTATTCTAAAAGCTGGAGACATTTTCTCGGTTTTACTTAATATGAGGTAAAATTTAGAAAACATACTATAGGAACTGTCTTCCGTTCTCGCTCAGGCCATTTTTTCCTATGTGGGTATCAAAAGGTCCCTAGCGTGAAATAGACTTAAGCTCATTGATTTTAAATAGTCCCATATAAATAAAAGCAAAATTTGGCTCTGAACACCTCTAGCAAAAACCTCTTATTGTCATGAATATCTTAAGTGTAATCATTTTTCTTTTAATTAACATTCTAAAGAGAAAAGGAAGTTGGAAATCCAGATAAATCTGTTATGAGTCAATTAAGAAGCCAGGATTAGCATATGCAATCAAGATGGGTGCAGCAAGACTTCATGGAAGAGTTCATGAGGAAGCAACCAGGATGTATCATTTGCATGGGCAGCCTCCTTGGTTTGTGTTCTTCTCAACCTCAGTATTGTTGATTTGACTCACTGCATAAATATTACCAAGCAGTAGCAAACCACGATTTCATTTCCCTGCTTGTACGGATACAACTTACCTCAACACACGGCTTTGAAAAAGACAAATCGTTTGAACTATGACAGACAGTAGTGGTCCTTTTCTTCTTGCAGATACTCTTTAATAAAATCTTTCTAAATCCCAGTTGTATCAATATCATCAGTAGATGCTGCAGACTGTTCTAATCTTCCTTGATCAGATAGATTATATTGAATAACCCTCAGGGACCTAAAGTGGGATACTTCACACATAGGTCATGTGAGCAATGGAAGCCTTTATCAGGGGTAACTGATTAGTGGAATATACAAAAGGAGCTGATGAACTCACACCAGTTACTATCAGATGAGTGTTTATATTCTAAAGCCAGTGTCAAATTTACAAGATAATGCATCTTTTTTCCCCTTTCTTTTCAGTAGTAAACCAAAAACATAGATGAGCTTTATGGGTACAAACCCTGAAATATTTAACATGTTTTAGCTGATTATTCTATTGCTAGGTCATCACAGAGAATCTTACAAATCCACTTACAAATAAACTGAATCTCACAAATAAACTGAAGGTGTGAGTCTCCTGGGATGAACAGCTAATGTTTTCTGAACTTCAGATTTCACAGAAAGAAGAATTTAAGGTTTTTAAAATACGATGCTCAATGGAAATTACAATAATTTAATATATATCTGTGATCTCACTTGTCCAGAAAAAAGTTGTCCATGGCACTGCAGAACAATGCAAATTTAGCACAGCTGCTGAAGGACAGTCACTACTTAAGTCATTTCCAACATATGGCACGATTTTTCTTAGATCTACAGATTGAGGGAGACTGATGAACACTAAGCTATTGTTCATAAATCTCAAGCCTCAGTTACCATGGTTCATGAGAAGCTATATACCTAATGCCAGTTAAGAAGACCATTTGTTTATTTGACTGAAAGGAGAATACAGAACAGGAGGAAATAAGAAAAACTGTATTTTAGCCACCAAAAATAGTTCTGTGTTGTGAGAAGCTCGTGTCTGCTTTTGCTGAACTTCGTATTCAGTAGTTATTATAGGATTTGTACAACACCACTTTTCCTCACATTGACCAAGATTTATATTGATATTAGTCTAACACAAGATGTGACCCCTTTAAATTCAGTAAAGAAAATTATATTACTTCACAAATGTACTTTCCTAATTTGAATTTTCCTGAAACAAACATTTTCTTAAAAAACAGTATTTCAAAGAATATGAGAGATGGCCTGGCCTTGACATTGCGGTAAAGACTGACCACTATAGTGATAGCAATGATAAGCCCTTAAAGACAGGAACTTGAAAGTATAAAAAGAAACACATCTACTGGACCTTTATTCCTCTTACTGAATCTTGCTCCATTATCTTCTTCTATATCACAGTCAGTCTAAAAGGAACAACAACAAAAAAAGAAAGATTAAGGAGCCCTGCACATCAGAAATGCTCTACATGGACTACAGTTTTAGAGGGTGTAAATATATTAGAATGTATCAATGCATATGAACAAATTAGGGTAGAAGGGTGTGTTTCAGAGGCTTTTCACTGTGTGCACACTATTAAAATCTGTCTGAGATCTGTTTGGAGAAAGCAACAATTATATATCTTATTAAAGAATACGCAATTACAGCCTTCTTTGCACTTCCTGCTTCCTTCAACAATGAAGACCTGTCTGCATTGAAGATTATAAAGTCCTGCACTGTTTCACTAGGTCACCAGACTAAACAGGCCGATCCACTTTCACAGCAATTTATTCTAGAAATTCTCTTCTGGGCCAACTTCTTTTATAATAAAAGTGGGCCTAGCTGAAGATTTACAGCATTGTCACTGGAGGAGAGTTAGCCCCTATAAAATTATATAGAATACAGTTAAAACTTAAACACCAAAAACTTTTGTGAGGCCCCTAATATATTATTCTCATGTCTATCACCTTTAAAACCTTCATCAGACACTGAGAAAGATGATATTCAGAATTCCCAGTTTTCCACAAAAGTCACCACAACCATAGCTGGTACAAACACTTTATGTACTAAACCATTATTTTACTTCCTTTTTGTTTATGGCATTTGTCTGTCATCAGAAAAACCAGAAAGTCTACAGTTCAGATTTCTCAGGATCATGAATGGTTTGATTAAACTACAGATGTTAATTAAGACCCAAATCTGTATCTTCATGCATAGCCAGAATAACCAGCTTGTTAGCTAGGGAAAGCCCATGATATTTAGAATATTCCATATTGTAGGATGCAGATCACAAGTGGAAGGGTTCCAGGGCAGCTTTGTAACCTCCTCTTTAGTTCTATCAAACAAGTTCAGGAAAGGAAACATGCATGGGACAGACTGTCTGAATTGTGCCTGTACATCCTATCTGTGGCAAAAGCAGTCAGCTACCATGGCAGGGGAAATCTGTGCACTGAACGCCCATGATGTTGTTATCTTTTTTGAAGGAATATATTGTCCCCTGATTTTGGAAGTTCACAACTAGGTAAAATGAAATTATTTTTAAGGGAGAAGTAAGCATCTTTGAATATCATTACACTTTTCCTAGAAAAGGTCAAAATTTTAGTATGTATTTTCATTTTAATTTAGTTACACTCTATAAAGATATCATTCTAACCTTGTATCCCACAGGATCCAAACCAATATGAGTGTCTAGCCATGCTACCCATTACAGCTTCTAATGGGAAACACTTAGAGTAAGAATTTTCATTATAAGTAATGTGCAATCCAACAGTTTCCTGTGCTGTCTTTTGTGATAGAAAAATAAAAATGGACCAGAAACTCATACTGAAAAAACAGTCACCAGCAGATACTAAGTACTGATGTTAATATGAAACCAACTCTTATGAATAAACTGATTTATATGGTTTATGGCCTAACCCTATAAAGGATTCCAGAGCTCCAAAACCTTTGGTGCTCTGACAACAAATTTTTCAGCTCGTGATGCCCTACCAGGTATCCAGAATCATGTTTCAAGAGCATGACTTTCCTCTAGTGTAAATGGAGAGACATTTGGGCAGCTTGGAGAACAGCCAGGACGGCGTGCCTTGACCTCAACATAAGCTGACTGGAATTAACCAGGGAAAAAATGAGTTTGTCCCAAATCTAAAATCCTGCTTTTCTCTAAAGCCAGGGCTCTACCTGAGGGTTACCTCTAAAGACAGGGCTCTGCCCAAGGCTGTCTGAGAGATGCCTCCATCCACTCAGTATCTACACCCTGATTCTTTTTATGAAAATAGGTTCCTGTGATCTTTCCTTCAAAACTTATGTTTTATTAAAACATAGCTGGAGGAGAAGCTGGCTTCCCATCTCCCTCCATAAAACAACTCTGTGATTAGAGTACTCATGCAATCATGGGATTCATCTCTCCTGCCACGAAAGGCCTCAATTCACAGCTCTTCTCACCCCAGGGAGGACTCTGACCATCAGGCTGATGGTTATTTTAGAAAAGGCAGTCTTGACCCTTCTGCTGAAACAGTGCCCTTGAGCACAAACAACTTCAAGATTCCTTAGATCATAATCTAATATTTAGGTTATTCCCAGGGCCGAGGCACACACTGACTTTTCTCGGGATTATTTCTGTCTTTGCTATGCTGTGTTGTGGAATATGCTTTGCTATGCTATGTTGTGGAATATGCTTTGCTATGCTATGTTGTGGAATACACACAACACCCCCCTAAAAGAAATAAGAATAAAATAAGTCCCATGACTAAGTACCAGCATTACCACTGTGACCCTGCTGTGTTTTGTCAAGGAGACAGTTGTGTCAGTGAGTCTGGGGAATAATCCCTGAGTGGCCAGGAGGTCACGCCAACCAGGACACTTGGATGGAGGAATGTCATGGTCCTGGGGTCCAGAGAACTTGGGCATGTGTACTCCTGAAAGTCCTCTCCAGAGTCCCAGGTGGAAAACTAACTAACTCCAAGGCATGAATCATGAGAGGCAAACGTAGTGCTTTGAGATTTAGGCAACTGCTTAGCAGAAGTTTTCTGAATCACACTTGTTTGTTCACACGCCTAGATTCCACCTGAGTCCCACATTTCACACCACCCAGACCCTCTTATTGACGCAACATAAGTATTAACAGAGACATCTTTGTGCTCACCAAAATATCCTTTTATTTATGAGAAAAAAAGCAGTTGTTAAGGACAGTTAACACTGAAAGCATTGAGTTGTCACGTTCACAGCATAATCCTTGCCATAGCTCAGCTGACTGATTATTCAACGTATGGTGCACCTATGGTTAGGAATCACTGCAAGGCTTAGGGCTTTACACTAAAACTGTCCTGTCTGTCGATGAACCCCAAAGGGAGAATTGTGCTAAATCCTATTTTCTAACTAGTTTCCAACTAACTAGATGCAGTAAACTCCAGACCAAAGACACGTTGCTTTAAAACTTCCTTATTCTGGGCATATTTTGTTTAGGCCTTTACAAAATCTCTACATTTCTAATACCCATTTATACTTGTGTTTCTAAACAGTTCTGTGGTAAAGTGTTTACTACATTATCACCTATAGCAGGAAAAACCTTTCCACTGGACTTACCAACAAAAAAAAAGGTGATTTTTGCCTTATTTTTTCTGTTTTCATAAATCTATTTACTAAGATTTAGTGGCACACCTTGTAACTCCTAGTTAGGTATTAAGAATAGCAACATAACTACAAGTTAAATATAATTTGTGAAATATATGCCATATTTGATAAAAAAATGCATGTAGTCATAATCATATGATGATGTAATTTGCATAGATGTAAAACCTGAATTTATTATACACAACTGCATTTGTGAAAGTAGACAGTCATCTGGTTTCTCTTCACTGGTTTAATCTTGCAGTCCCTCACTAGAGGCAACAGAATTTTTAAAAGCAGCCAAGACAAACCAGACACCAAAGGGAAGGAGAAAAGCAGAAACAATGTGCACGAAAAGTGATTCACACAAATATTAATACAACCCCTTCAATCCTTTCAAAATGGTAATTTTAGACTGACAGAAGATAGAGAGGGCAGTCAGGCAAAGCAGAAGTCAGTCTGATATCACTGATACACCTGCAATAAATTAATCTTCTGTTCCATAAAGCAGAAGTTTTAAGAGGACATTACAGGATACAGTTTACTTTTTAGGCAATCAATAGTTCTCCTGTAACAGAGATGTGAAGCAGAAAGTAGTTACCATTTTGGAGAGAAGCTGAATGGACTGAGGTACTGTGTAGCAGCAGGGCCTGGAAACATGAACCTTCAGTGAATGACTGGAGGAAACGTAAGCTGGTCTGGAGATGAACGGATGAATTTGTTATTATTGACATGATACACAGTTCAGCAGACAAACTTTCTGGAGAGGCGTTCAGGTAGTGAGATGGCATAGGCCTAAGCTCAGGAGATTGGTGTTTAACCAACAAAGAGTAGAATAATCGACTGCAGAAATACACTGAAAGCAGTTGCCACATTCAGAAAATCATCCAAGTGTCTTCTACTGAGCCACCACCAAGATGAAACATCAGACAAGGTTATGGTACAGCTAATGATGGCCACTTGCGTTTAACATATGCACAGGAGGCAACTTCAGAATGGCTGTATTCATTCACTGCCCTTTTCATCTATGACAGATAATGCTAATACAGGTTGGAACATAGTTACTCAAACTAAGTCATCAAGCTGCTGAGACAGCTACATGTAGACCATGCTACTAAGCAGGTTTTATCGCTGTGCTTCACAAGTACTAACATATAAATAGATTACAAAACTTAGGCTTCTGGGTTTGTAAGTTAAGAGGTAAAAAAGACTTAAATGTTATTTCTAATTTCTGACGTGCTTAGCTAAAAACAAACCATGCAAAAAGCAAGCAATCATAAGAAGTGCTAGATGGCATTTAATGTTTTTCACTGCTATAGCATTAGCCATGTACTACAAGCTGAAAAAAGCCATACTTGATAAGGTAGATATTACTTAGGAATGACCTAAGTATCTGAGTATTACTGAGAGTTCTGTTGATCATTTATAATTTGAGGCAGAAGATGGCCTTCTCTATCAACATTGGGTCAACATAACTCTCAAGTATGCACACATTCATGTAGTGTGTCTTCTCAGTAATGAACATTTCAATTCAAGCCCCAGTTAACATCAGATACAGAAAAGAAAAAACCCAACCCACATGTATTTATTTGGTTCCTGGATCTATGTGGATGATTTTAACCTCACTCTACTCCTCACTTCACTTCCCACCCTTCTTTACTCATGTCTAAACATCAAGATATTTACATGTCTGAAAGGAACTGGAAAGCATCTGTGATATTTCCCAGAGGATCCAGTATCTCTTCTCACACAAAAGTGTTATTTCCACATCTGTATATCACAGTAGCACTTCAATAAGGGACACCTCAGGAAGGGCCTCTGACATAGTTTCAACTAGCAGATTCACCACTTTCACTACCTCACTTGAAAGAGAAACACTGAAACAGAAATAGTTTCAGTTAATATAGTCCTTCACTTAAGTTGGTTATGCCTGTAGTCCCTATAGGATGGGTTATCAGTAAAATGGTCTTTGAATAAATGTACTTCTACATATTGTTCAAAGTCCCTAAAAGTCGTAGGACTTTGAAATCATGTGGATTTCTGGTGTTCCTTGGCAGGCTCTAAATCAACAAATTCATGAGTGGCTTACTGTGATTCATATGCCACTTTCATTTTTGGCAGGTAACGCTAATGGTATTGGAGAATGATTATTTGAGTGAGATTGCACCCACTTCCCTCAAACCAGGACTCTAAAAAAGCTCAAAATGTATCTGTCAGAATAAATACATAAAAATATACGTGAACATTTATTCTGCATAGGGTTTTGACTGTACAATCCCAGCCATTAGGGATGAGCAGGACTTTCGATAGTTCCTGTAGAAGGTTGGGCAAGCAAACATCTGGGGGTGGACATTCAGGAAGAGGAAATATCTGTGTGTCAGTAACAAGCAAGTTATATTGTACACCTGATTTTTAGGCATGCCATTTGTGCTCAGTCATACTGTAATGCAGCTTTGATGACATGCCACACTAAAGGGCAGGCAGTATACATCTTTCCTCATTGACATGATGACACAACTTGGTAAAACTCACTGCCTAATGCTATAAATTGTAACTCTCAAACACAGTATATGGTTGCCCTGTATGTTTTCAATGTTTAAACACATGTTAAGTATTTTGATCCTGAAAGTGCTGAAGGAGCATTGTGGCGAAAACCGATGCACACTAGGTAAGCAACAGCACCTTATTGATACTAATGCCAGACTTCTCACTATATTTTGTTGACACCGTAACACCCAGCAAACACTGTTAACTGTAACCTAACAACAAGCAATTCAGTTCCCATTACTGCTCACAATCTCATATGAAATATTTCTTGTTTCCACAGTATACTTCACTATGTCATTGAAAAGTACCACCACACCTTTTTAAAAACCTGGATAAACCTTATCTTTAGAAAAGGTAATGTGATATGAAAAAAAGGTGTGTTCATTTTGACTAATACACAAAATTGATGAAAAATAAAGTTTACATTAAATTTCCTTTTCAAAGATGCATTTTCCATAGTGCACTTTAGAATCTTTAAGAGGGAGCTCAGTCTAAATTCAGTTTCAGTCCTGGATCTAAAATCCATGCGTGGCCTCGGGCAAATGTGTTAATTTTCCTGTTTCAGTTTCCCTGCCTTTAAAGTGGGGATAATGCGACTAACCCAAATAGCTTAGCTGCAATTTATGAGTAACTTGATTATTAGATTTCTGAGACATGAAACATGATTATTATTAGGACTTACTGACCAGTCAGTCAGAAGAGTCTGATATAGACAAAGAAGACAGGTCTTTGACAACAGAAAGGCGCTGATTAGTCAGAGTAGCTGTGCAGGGAAGCTGCTCTAGGGAGCCAAGAGTTGGACCTACAGAACTGAGAATGCCCCCTTTGTACTTACTTTCTATTTATTACCCCATGGTACCTGAAGACTGTAAAAAACTGAATCCTCTCTGAGAATTTAATAGGTCCAAAGCACTACAACAAATCAGCTTCAGGCAAATAAATTTTTATCTGCGTAAGAGAGCTCTATGTTATTTTCCAGTGCAAATGTCAGAATTGATAAAAGACACAGTACTTCTGTTTAAAATGAGTAGTGGATGATACATTTTAAAGGGAGAAAAAGTCAGAGGCCTGATATCATGGAGATAATGAGGAAAATTAATTTCTGGTGTTGCTGCAGAATTTGGTACTCAGCATATTGGGTCCAAATTTACACCACTGAACACTGAATAAATCCATGTGCCTTTTAATAACTGTGACAAAAATACACTCCCTACTGGCAAGGTCAACATTATTAATTGTTATTCCTATTATTAACCTTTGGGCTTGTGCATCCTCCATGGATTAATGATTATTCAATAACATTCAACAAGGTTGCACTTTCTAATAGCAATTAATAGAAGGGCGTACCACTGGTTAACTAGAAAAAGCACTGACATATCAACTTCATGGTCTTTGTCCTGTTTCTGAGACATGCAAAGGTGCCTGGAGGAATTGTACCTGTCAGTTTCCAGAGCTGAAAGAGGAAATCTGCCTCAAAGTCAAGACAAATAAAAAACGGAGAATGAACTGACATCCAGGGTCCCCTCTCTTCTCAGTCTCCTAGTAAATAACAAGCAGCCTCAGCTTTCACCGAAACACGCACTCATTGCCAGGATCACTCTCCAGGAACTCCACTTCCAAATCCTGCAGTAGCGAAGATGGGAAAGAAGGTCTTAAAAACAAAAGCAGACAGAACAAGTCCCTCCCCAAGGAGAAGTTACACGGATAAAGGCAATTCTCAAACAACGTTACTGAGGAGCACGTGGTGCCAGGTGAAGCACCAAGCGAGACAATCGGCGGGGGGATGCGCGGAGGGACCGGGCCCCGACGGGGCAGCCGTGCGGCGGAAGGAGGGCGGGCAGTCGCCCCCGGGGGATGCCTGCCCTCACCCTGGCCACCCTGTCCCGCGGAGACCGCCAGCGCGGCTGCGGAGCTTCTGCCTCAGCTGCCTTAAAAGGCCGGTGGCCGTGGGGCGCTGCTTGCCTCGGAGCAGCGGCGGGGGTCCGGGGGGGGGGCGAAGTGCGCGGGGGCAGGTGTGGGAATAAAGGAGAGAGGAAACGACGAAGGGAAGAGGGAACGCGGAGGAGCGGGAGGGGACCTGGGAGCGCCGTACGCGGGGACCGCAGTGAGGGCCGTAGGGGAGCTCTGGTCCCTCTCGCAGGGCGGGAGCGGGGGGGGGGGGGATGGATGCACCCCGCCACCCCACCCGGCACTTCCACCTCGTCAGCCCCACCGCCACATACCCACACACCGCCGCCCCTCGGTTTGCCCCCCCACCCCCCCCGTAGACCCCCGCTGCCGCGCAGGCAGGAGGCAGCAAGCACGGAGCTGGCAGCGATGCAGGGCGCGGATCCCCCCCCCCGCCGCCACCGCAGCCGGTCCCTCGCGACCGCCGCCGCGCTGCCCCGACGGCCCCGCCGGGCCCTCCCCAGGGGCAGCGCGCACCTCCCCGCCCGAGGGGCCGAACGAGGCGGGGAGGCGGGGGGGGGGGGGGGGCAGATACACCCCAGACACACACAGGCACAGCCGCGCACACAGACACACAGAGGCAGGGCTGCCCCAACGCCGGTACCTTGCTGCCCGGGTGTTTTCCGTCCGCGCTCCTCCTTGCTGAGGCAGCTCGGGAGCGGAGCCGAGCGGGCGGGTGTGTGTGCGTGTGCGTGTGTGTGCGTGTGTGTGTGAGTGTGTGTGTGTGTGTGCGCGCGTGCATGCGTGTGTGTGCGCGCGCGCGCGCGTGTATATGTGTATGTGCGCGTGTGTGTGTGTGTGTGTGTGTGCGAGAGCGAGCGAGAGCGACTCTCCCCCTTCCCCCTCCCCCTCTTCCTCCTCGCTCTCCTTCCTTTAAACGCCCACTCCTGATGGGTGAAAAGACAACTTGAACTTCAGTGCAATTAACTTCGCCGGCGCCTCGGAAGCCGGAGGTGTCGCCGGCCTCGCCCGCCGCGCTCCCATGAGTGAGTCGGTCCCGCTCCTTCGGCGTCGCTCCTCGGGGACGGGGTGGGGGGACACGGGGGCCGTGCCGGGGCCACCCGCCGCGGTGATTGACTGAGGCCGGCGGTGCTGACCTCCGGGCGGCCGGAGGCGCAGAGCTCCGCCGGGCGCTGCCGCTGCCGGAGCTTCCCGGCCAGCGCGGGCTCACACCTGCCGCCGCGCTGCTGCCGGCCGCCGGCCCCGCTCCGCTCCCTTGCCCGCCGCCGCCACCTCGCCCGGTACCGGCGCGGGTGGGCGAGGCGGGTGGACCCGGGCAGAGGGAAAAGAAGGGAAAACTAAAGTTTGGCAAAGTTTGGCCAGCCCGGCAGCGCCGGGCCCGGGGCGGCGGCACCCTGACAGCGGGGGGCGCGGGGCGAGGCTGCGGGCCGGAGCGGCGAACGGGGGGAAGGGGGGGGGGGGGGGGGCGCGGGGAGGGGGGCGGTGCGGTGGCGCTTCCGCGGGGCGCGGGGGTTGCGCGGGGGGCGGCGGCGGGGGCTCTCCTGTGGTGGCGGGTGGCGCGTCCCCCCCTCTCCCCGGCCGCGGCGCGACCCGGCGGTGCCGCTACCGCGGGGAGCGGTGCCAGCAGCGCGCCTGTTTGCTCCCGGGTTTTATGGGGTTTTGTTTTTTCCGCTCCGTCTCCAAAAGCGGCAGCCGAGGTTTTGTTCAAACCGCCGTCCTTTTGTCGCCGTCGCCGCTGGCTGCCCCGGGGAGCGCTCCTGACAGGCACCTGCCCGGTCCACAGTTTCCCTCTGCCTGTCTCCAGGCTTCCCTGACTGCAAGAGAAACTTCGCTAAAATGCAAGTTTGATGAAATAGTTTGCACCGGCTCCTAAGCTGCGATGAGTTCGAACTCACGAAAGCTCTCCGCTGGTTTTCGTCGGTCCAAGTCAGCGCAGCGCTTCTGTGAAAATAATTCGCAAACTCAGATGCAGAGGAGCCGGGCTGCGTGATCTGGTAGCGCCCTTTCATTCTGGTCCATGCTGCTTGGGTGGGAGCGAGCAGCAGTCCCTGATTTCTACTTTATATTGTTTTGGTACCGTGCATTCATATATTTGTCTGCTGTAGTCTGCTGGCAAACATTAGCATTCAAGCTTACATTTTTGACAAATGTGCAGACAGGAATAGCATGAATAGGCATCTTAAATATTAACAACCTAAGCATCTGTTGTGAAACAAATTTAATATATTTACTCTGTTTTTCTCACATTGTTAGGAAAGGTTACAATAAGTGTAAAATTTCAGCTGTAGTTAGCACAAGGAATGCTTGGATATTTCACTATCTCTTAAAGCATTTAACACAATCACCAGATAGAAATATGTCAAATCAGGCGCACTATTCAAAAACAACTCGAAGCAGTAAGCGTAGAGTGTAAAGACATGAATGTAGGATGTTCTTTGCAATTTCTATCATCTCTTAATTACTCGGCACCACTGTTTGTAGGATTTGAGACTGCTCTTTTCAGTCCCGTATTCCTATATGCTCTTTAGTGCATTTATACATACGCTCATTTTCTAATTCATTTTCTATTTGAGGTTGTCATTTGGTATTACCTTGCTTTTCAAGTTGAAGCGATGGTTTGCACAGAAATGTGTAATAACGTGGAGCAGGTAACAAAACAGGCAGAAAATGCGACATGTTACCATATAAGCATGTGTCTGAACAGATAGCACATGCACATAATAAGGCAATAGAAGAGAAATTAAAACACTGTCTAGTATGTTATGTATGCCCACTCTTGAATACAAACAGCTAGTGGAAAAGAAACAACTGACTCCAAGGAATTCCTCTGTCCCTGGAATAAAACTGTTCTGACTAGAACAAGAGCACAGAAGAGTAAAGTCTCCAAAAGACTGTAGAGTTATTTCAGGAATCAGTGCATTCCTTCCCTTTTTCCCACAAGTTCAAATATGTAATAAATAAGTCTTTTGTATGCAAAAGAGTTTACTGGAACAAAAAATATTTAAATGGAATGCTTTTTGTCTGTACACTTTGAAAAACTGTCCATTTCCTTTTTATATTCTTTGTTCTTAATACTTTAAATAGGAAAGTGACTCTCGCAGTCAGTCCTCTCCTGTTATTTCAAACACATGCATGAATCCTAACTTGCTGCTGTGCACTTCTGAGAAGGCACAATAAAGCATACAGAGATGATCTGTAACTTGCTAATGGGACATAGTGCTGTGCCTGAATCAGAAGCAGAGAGAGTCTGCCACAGTAGCCCGAGCTTGCAGCTTAGGCCCAGCAGGTCATCCGAGGAGCACCTGCCCTCTGGTTGCTGTGCTTCCCAAGGCAAGACAGCGCCAGCCCAGCTTGCAGGCTTGCCAGCATCCCATGGACGCCACTGCCACACTCAGCTCTGCCGGGAACGCAAGCACGTCCGCCCTTTCAGCACGGAAACCTTTTCAGAGTAGGAAAGTCCTGAATAAGCACTAACATCCCACATTTCATGGGATAGAGCAGGGTTTAAACTGCCGTTTAGAAGATTATTGGCCAAAGTCTGGTGATCTTGGGGAAAAAAACACCAACAAATCTTTTAATTGCATTTACTACTCAATTTTTGGAAGTATTGTCACCTTTTAATTGTCACCTGTTTTTTAATCTAAGCATTGTCAGATAAATGTGAAGTTCTTAAGGTTTTCAGCTGAATTTGGGGAAATTTTTTTATTAGTAAAATACTTTACAATTTCTATATATAAATGTATATTAAAAGTAGATTACTGAATTAAAACTGGAGAAATCATGACTTCTGAAAGGTTTTAGTTGTATTTCTAGGAACTATGCTATTTTAATATAGATGCTACTGAAGCATTTTATTGCCTTCTTCTGTATAACTGCCATTGCTCTCTCTCTAGCTATATTTAATATATATCCAGTGAAGCCACAAACTTTCCTTCTATAACAGTTTAAACACATCTGGAGCATTTTACTTTCTTATAATTTATGTTAATAGATGTAGAGTGTATATACAATCTTCTCAGAAATCATTGCTTTTTCCAAAGGGGACTTTTTTACTTTCAGTGAGGGAATATATTTATAAGGACAAAATAACTCAAAAGTATAGGCAATTCTATATATCATTTTATTTTCTGTTATATTAGGTTGATTATATAAAGCTTTCATTTAGAGCAATGGGATGATGAAATTACAGAGGAGTGATTGGCTTTTGTTTTTTTCGAATGGTTCAAGTTGAGGGCTGCAAAAATGAATGTTTTTGGTAAAGTTCTTTGAGGACATAATATTTTTCATAGAATTCTGACAAATTAATTTAATAGAAAAGCCACAAGTCTGTTAGCACGGGAGGCTATATTTTCAGGTAAAATGGAAGTCCTGCTTTTGCCATTATAAGCATCAGGCTTCAGTAATCTGCTCCTCTTGTGCAATGAACACTTTCTACTTAAAGCTATCATGCACCTACTGTTTATTTACGCTGCATTAAACTGACAGCACAGCAATCAGAGGAAAAATATGACTTACTTTCCTGAAGTAAACACCAGTTTATAGGTTAGTGCATGTATTTATATTCCTGTTGCCACTAAATAATGGCTGTCTCCTTTTTAATATCTACCTGTGGTGTTACCCAGGGCAGCTGGCTCTTCCTTGCTTTTAATGAGGAAAAAAAAAGGAAAGGGGGATGAAGAGAAAAAGAAAGTTGTGTTATCATTCCACTCCAAGAGGAACTTAATAGAAAAGTGACTCGGTATTCCTTTCTGTGGCATGCAGGAGCCAGTTTTAAAGACATAGTATTCAGTTTTACTGGGTGTATTTGAATTGCATCTCAAACAGGGAAAACAGAATTCCTTAACAGTATTTGTCTATCCAAGTCACTGAAATTGTATATTCAGGCAATGGCAGATTAAGGGCAGAAGCATTTTATTAATAACTGAAAGCACATATGTGTGTGTGATGAAAAATGTTCTGCAAATCTGTCACTATGCAATCAAGTGCATTTTTTAAACTTTAGTTGTCACAAAGTTGCTACTGATTCTAAAAAAAAAAATAAAAATAAAGCAGTTTGACGGTTAAAGAGTAACTTACAGTTCTTATTGCTTGTTTTACTGAAATTTTGCAACTTTATAAAGTCCATGTCAGAAAACCCTGTTGATGTTACTTTTAATCTTGGACTAATGCGTCCAAGTAGCTGGCATTTGAACTGAAGATCACCACAGTCTGAATAACCCACAGTTTGCAGAAAGCTTCCCTAAATTCTTCATCAGAGGATTCCATTAATAACCCCTACCTGAGAGGTCCATTTTTGTCTCAGCTTCTGAAATTATCATATTTAACATTAAGCTAGCTTGTGTTTCAGTTCCCATGTCAGCGGTACCCTGAACTCTCAACAGCCCCAACCACAACTTGTAACTGTTACTTCAGAAATGATATACTATAATGTGCCCTTCAAAACTGTAGGTGTTTGTGAACACTTGCCATCCTGTGGTGTCTAAGCTTACCACAGTTATCTCCAACACTTTGTTACTTAATTGATATCCATTTTGTTGCTTTGCAAATGTCGACTTTCAGATGGTCTCTGCACTGCGTTGCTCTCAGTAGGTATAAATCTTAGAGATTAATTTTAAAGAGACTTGCTAGTACTGTGCTTGTTCATCTGTTGGATGATGATCTGGACCTCAAGCCCTGTATCATCTGTAATCTACTCTTAACCTGTATAAATCTGGTGCAGTGTAGTAGGAATGTCATAGTAATAATAGAGTGCGGTATCAGAATGTAGTGACATACCTCAGGCACTGTCTGAATTGTAAATATCTCCTAAACTTGTTGGGCTTGACTTTCCTCGGGATTCACACTGGTGTATCACTGAAGAGGTTGGTAGACCTC